AATTGTCTTATATAATAATATTATTGTTTGGTTCTTAAAGGACATTTCGAAGATAATGTTCGCCTGTTAGATGAGGCGTGTTGTTCTAAAGGGTAGCAATCGTGTGGGAGTTCATAATATAACACTATAAATATTATTATATTATGCAATACGTCAATACGATATTTCTCACAATGTTCGTCACTGACAATCTATTGCTCTCCACTGTATAAAAACGATAGACTTTGTTTTCAATAGTTCAATATAAATCACTAAAAAAATATTATTTTGTATTCGTTTAGTGTACAGGTTTTCCTTTTATGCACGCTCATAATAATAATATATGGAGATAACGGGATTAAGGGACAAAGGAACATGATGATGCTCAAAAAAAGGACGATCATGTTTTAAACGGGACAAATGGTCGCCTACTAAAATTTAGTACATTCAACTCAATTCGTTCTAAAAGGTTTTTTGGAGATACCTATAAGTTTATCGGTGCACCGTAACTCCGCACGGATCGTCGCCATTTTATAATATATCACCTTAACTCCGCATAGAAGGTTTTTTTTCGACACCTTAACTCCGCATACAAGATTTTTTTTAACACCCTAACTCCGCACACAGTATAAATATATTATATACACATAATAGGTATTATTTATTATTGTATTAATTTATTTAATTTAAATACAATATATTATGTTATTAAAATTAAATAAAAAGGTAATACTGGAAACGGCTTAAACAGCCTAATCTAAACATTGAATAATAATAATAATAATAATAATAATAAAGACAATTTGCAACAAATATTGTCGTCATCGGTAAAATAAAATAAAATAAATATAAAAATATAAAATAATATAAAATTTAGAATAAAAAGGTAATACTGGAAACGGCTTAAACAGCCTAATCTAAACATAGTATAATAATAATAAAGACAATTTGCAACAAATATTGTCGTCATCGGTAAAATAAACATGTCTTTACATGTTAAAGTCGAAGCTGCTTCTACATTATTGGCTATTTCAAGTTTTATTAACTTGGAAGAACGATCAGTAATATAATCAAGTCCCTTTCGTTTTATCCCGTTACTAATCTTTTGTCGAACAATAATATTGGTGTCGATACTTTCATGTGTATGTGTCCCTGATTCCCTCGAAAAATTATAATCAACGCCAATTGTGTATAATTTTGCTGTACACATTTTTTGTATGCATTTCCATCCAATTTCCCCGGATATTAATTCTGTATACTTAGAATATTTGTAGTTACTTTTTACTAATAGCACATTTCCCCGTTGACTGTATACAACACTTATTTCACGTTCACTTGCCATCATATTTAAAATTTAAATAAAACTTAATTAAATATATAATATAATAATAAATATATAATTGATAATTTAAGCTAATAAATAAATTAACAATTAACAATTAGCAATTATATTTTAAGCAAACACTCCGAGATCAGAGAACTGAATTCGTCCCGTAACGTGGATACTAGGGAAAATAAAACTGGTTATTCGTTATTACCTATAATAAAATGTTATTCAATTTATATTTTATCAGTTTATGACATGTGACTTTGGTGTTGAACTATTTTTATTCATGCGGAGCTCCGGTGCGTCCAAGTTTATAGGTACCTACGTCACGATGTTCGTATGTTCGTATACAGAGGGTTCGGTACATTTATACCAACACGAAATTCACGAATACCGTCCCCAGTGGTTGTTCGAGGTCAGTCGATAATTCTATACTTGGTTTCAAATTAATTTTACAATATCTATTTTGTATTTCCATAATTATAGAAAAAATACCAGTCGATGGTTAAACCATAGATATTAGTAAAACACTAATATTTCCTCGTAAAGAAATTGAGTTTACCTAATTGTACTTGAGCAATAGTGATAGACAATACAGGACACAGGTATTAGGTATACTCTCTAGGTAATTTAAGAGCCCATCAGCTTCAACTAGGTAGGTACTTCACAAATTTTTAATTTTGGTATTCGACTAAAATTAAATCAATATGCATCTATTTGGCTATTTGTGTTCGAAGCGCTTTGTTTTGCATTTTATTTTATTTTCCAACTGTTAAATATTATTCAGGGACAAATAACGGCCAGAAACTATGCATTTAAATTGAACTTAACGAAAAATCCGGTACATTTTCTCAGATTTTGATCCCGCTAAACTGAAATAATGTGACAGGTGGTTCCAGCGTTTTTTCTTCTAATAAAACTATTCATCACTGTGAATGTGTGTTTTTATATGTACTGTGAAATGCATAAAAATCAGTGTTTAAATGCCCATGTCCCTATAGGTAAGTTTAAATGTAATATACTTATTTATAATATTATTACCATTGTAGTGCAATACGGTTCAAACACAGAAAACAGAAAATATAATTAATAATGTACAATACTTAAAATATAATTTTATGGTATATCTGTCTATCTTATTAGCTATTAGATACAAGTATACAATACTAAAATTATAAAAGGAAGAAAATTTAAAAAAAAAGTGTCCTTCAATATGCACGTGGGTGCAAGTGGGTGCAAGTGGGTGCAGGTTGATGTATAATTGTAAAAATTATAAAAGCAAGTCCACGCAAGCATGCGAGAGAATTAAAAAAATCTCAACATTATCACATCTTTCTATAAAATTTGATCAAAATTCATTAGCATAATTAATAATTATTTGTGGAAAATATTTTCAGAATTAATATTGTTTTCCAATAGGTATATCCATAGATATTTAAAACACAGTGAAAAAGAATTTAGTTTGAAATTGGTATAGCAATAAGATAAAATATTTATAAATGTTTATTCCTATACTTAGTAATCTAGCTGAACCTATTGAACTAGTAACAGGTATTATTATTATTATTAGTCCAATCAAGTACTGCTTTTTAAAACTTTAAATGTTCAGCATACTAAAATTGATGTGATTGAATGAAGATTATGAGGACACCACATCCGCATAGAAAATAATGTATGGCTACTGAGTGGTGTACCTTGTTTCTACGTCTATTTCACAGAACGTTTATTATTGTTGGTCGAAATTACATTGTTAAATTATTACTTGTTATAGAGGTAAAAAGTCACGTAGGTACACTTTACGTTTACGGAACGGTAAGTAGTATTTTGAAATTCACGATATTTTTGACATTATACGATATAATTACCATCTCGATTATTGTACAAATATTGTATACTATGACAACGAGAGGGCGCTATCAGTACACGATTGGCCGTCGTCTACGAAAGATGCTGTGCCACTGAATTTCACAGCGCGTTGTAACATAGCAATCGAATTTACGTACGACGATTGTAGTTATTCCATTGTAACGATATTGATCGTGTTGTGTTCAATCAGGTAATTTGCAAGCTCGTACGTATTTTACAACTATTATTAAACAAAAGAGAAATCAAATTCTCGTAGACAGAGAAATACGTGTTTTTGGAAAATAATATTTCGTGTATGCGTCCGTTTTTCACTGACGGCAGATGGCGCTATTGAGCTGTACCACTTGTCTGATCGTATTGTCGACAATTAATCAATAAAATCATCTATATAAATGCAATTATCGTCAACCTGTGGCGTGCAACACATGAAATTAATGACGGATAATGCCGTTTTTCAAAATGCGATTTTTTCGAAAATCGATATTTTCGCTTCTCAGAACACGCTCAAATTTGAAACTACAATCGTCTTAGAATTGCGTTTATCTTTAAGACACCTCAATGATGTTGAGATTGTATCCCAGGGAAAGGATATAAAAAAAAAAATCCCAGATATCGTTGTAAAATGATTACATTGGTTGTTCCACTCGGAGTCTAAAACTAGTTATTACTGATAATTATGATTTTAGATTCCTAGTGGGATGATGAACGTATTGATTATACAATGATATGTGGGTTTTTTTTTTATATACTCTCGCTGGGATTGCAAAAAAAAAAATCACTTCATTGTAAAATGAATACATTCGTCGTTCCACTAGGAATCTAAAACTAGTTATTTTCTTTGTCTATGTTTCTTATTATTATAAATTTTAGAATCTTAGTGGATCTCGGTATTCACGATCGAGGATTCTTCTACCTGGGGTAAATTGTAGTACATAACTATGTAACTAAGTAGTCAGTAGTGTATGCAGACATTTTTTTCTCTGTGATATGGGGTTGAAAATTAATTTTGACGAATTTTATCTAAAAATGATTTATTAAATTTATTAACAAACTTTTTTTTATTGTTTAAAAATTTTTTTTTTTTGGATATGTCACTATAATTATTCATTATTAACTTGAGGACAAGTGATAATGTGGATAATGTTATTATACTTGTAATAAGGAAATTAAACATAAACCATATCTACATAAATCGTATACACCTATGTTATAAATATGTATTTGTACAACATAAATACCATTATATATCAGTGGTCTTCCACTATATTGGACTTGTACCTACCCATTTTAATTATAATTTATGTTTTGCAACCATAAAAAAAAAAAACTGATTGATAATGTTGTAATACTTATAAAAACTAACCAATTCTTAATTAATGTAGTACTAAATATTATTATTGTTATGTTAATTGTATTTGCCTGATACAACTGATGAACATAAATTTATAATTATTTTTTTAAATTAATAAAAATACATTTTCACCCAATTTTGAAGCTAACGCAGACCACTGATCTGCAATATTAAATAACAAACAGACTCAATAATTATGTTAACACTTATGACATTAAAATTAAATAATGTTGAAAAAAATAGTAAACAAATTCTAAAATATTTTTATATATTGAAAAAATATACTTTAAATACAAGAATATATAAATAAATGTTATTTTAAATTAATTAAAGGTAGTATTATTGTATCACATAAGGAACGGAATATTGATTGCAAATTAAATATATATAGGTACACAATATGTTTTAATAGTAGTATCTATACAATTCTTTAGCTATAATTACCTAAGCTGTACAAATTTGGTGTTTATTATTAGGCTATAAGTGGATTTGTTGGAATATGCTTTTGGTTAATGTGGTACCAGCGAGTTCCCTATTGCCTTGAATAGCATACTGTACTTTTTCACGTATTTCTGACCTACTTAAATCACCTCTTAAGCTTAATAATCTAGTCATTTGGTCTTCGGTTATATCTGGATACATTTTTACAAGTGTGTGTAAATCCAACGATAGTATTTCAGAATCTTCACTTTTTAATACTTCAGATAACTTGACAACAGCATCAAAAGGAGAATCTTTATCACGTGTTACTAAAGGTGCCACACGCATAAAAAATGATTTCAGTTGGTCCACTTCATTTGTCATTTTATCGGCTGCTGATCGACGTTCTTCATATGTCTTGAAATTTAATTTCTTCTGCAGAATAGCCATTATGTATCGTCTCACTATTATATCCTCAGCTTCTAATATTATATACTCTAAATTCTTGGGCTTTAAATGAGTATAATCTTGAAAATAATCTTCTAATGTCACACAAATAGTTTCAATAGATATAAAGCTGGAAAGCCATTTAGTAGTTATCAAATCTTGAAAATGAATGTCAAGATCAATCAAAGCTTCTTCTAAAAGAAATTGTGCTGCTTCGTCTCTGAGATTTTGGAAGGTCTTTATTAATTTTTCGTAGGCAGTACTTGACTGATCTTTAAAATCACTACTCCAATAGTGTTGCTTCATTTCTAATGCTAATTCAATAAATTGCAAGCAATTATTGAGCACAGTAATTATGCAGTGTGTAAAAAATGGTACTTTGCTTCTGTCCTCGAAGTGCTTTTTCTTGAACTCTATAACAGCCTCTTTGTAAGACAGACCGTATAGACTGACACTATCTACACTCAATAATAATGCTTTGTGTGTTAAGTGCTGACTTATAGTTTTTGTGACTTGCAAATTTTGATCAATCATCTGAAATATAATAACTGGAGCAGCTGTATGAAAACATCCATCTGGACCAACCTCGGGTGAAGCACCTGCATACCAATCATTTTTTTCAGTATCCAATGTTTTTAACATCCATTCTTTGTAATTTGCTTTTATGTATTCTAAATATTTTGATTGTAAATCAAAAACAATTGATGATTTTAATAATGGACCAACTTTACCAATGTCTATATTCAATTCAGGATGTAACATTAACTCTGTGCCAGAGTATGTATTAGTCACCCATGAAATAATTGTTACATATTCATTGCCTTCTAGTCCATTTGATATTATGTCATTTAAATTTGCTGAAAGACTGGAATGATACATATAAACAAATTTATCAAAAATATCATAGAGTGGAGGAAAACATGGCACACAAAGAGTTTTAACCACTCGCAAGTCTTCAAGAATCAATTGTCGACAAAGTTCCAAATATGTTACAAGCCACATTTTATTGTCAGATCGTTCATTCACTTGAGTACCTTCTATTCGCTGGTCAACTGACTTTTGAAGCACATCAAATGCCATTTCTTTCCACTTTTTTGGGCGACTGGGAGGCATAAATCCAGATTGCTTATGACGCTGCAATGCAAATATGTCAGCACGCTCTTCTCGTTCAATTATTCGCAGCACAGTAACAATCACCATAGGTTCTTTCCTAACAGTATTTAGAGTTCTGCTCAATACTAATTTAATTTGTTTTTTCAACATATTGGACATAACTTCAACGTCTTCGAAATATGCTTTGAGTAGTATTTTATCACTGGGTGCCTGATTGGGCAGTTTATGCACTTCAAATAAAAGATCATCTCTAGAGTTCTCAAGGTCTATTAAACATTGATGAGCATGTAAAAACTTTCCATCGTTTATCCACTGTTTAGTTTTTTCAATGCTTTCAGGTACGGTGAATAGATGTTTCATATTTTCATTAGCCGTCAAGTACTGAGAATGTTGCATTTGCTTGGTGCGCACATCTTGCAACTTGTACCCAAGAGATGGTAAATTGATAAATGAATGTTTTGTTTGACTAAGGTATATCTTCACCTTACTTATATCATCCAATGCGTCTTTCAATTGTTCCATTCCGATGGTAACACCGTCTAATTGACTTTGCATAGCTGTTTTCAACATTGCCTCAGTAGAAGTTTTTTTACGCGATATCCGATTCTTTAATTGTTCAACTTTCTCCAATTGTCCTGGATTCTTAAGCGTGTTTGTAAAGTATTTTGTTGCTGCCAATTTGGCATCATTGCCCAACTGATCTATGTCCATATTCACAATTCAATTCCCCAAGTCTCTAAAACAAATAACATAAATAAAATTAATATATTTTTTTTAATCTGAATTTATTTTATGTAATAACTTGGATACATACAAAATATACACATACATGAGTTACAATATAGGATTGAATATTGATAAGAATTATTATAATCTAATTCTAAAATATACAAACAATAGAGGTCAAATCATGAACGGTATGGTTTTAATATGAAAAATAGTCATTGCGATCATAAATAATAAAAAGTTAAAAATGTACATAAGTTGGTATTTATATCAATAACGTAAAATATATTCGTTTTACAAAATATTGTATTCATTCAGTCGTTCAATATGCTATCTACCACAAATTTTGTTGGCTTAGTATGGTATCTACAAAGATATGGAATTAATATTAGGCTTTTTACATCAAAAAATAAAATTAGTTTGTTATTATGTTTGTCAGTTGTTTAGATTAAACATGCCACATGGTTTGACTGTAGTTAGTTGAATTATTTTAATAATTTTTATTACCTACTTATTCAAAGTAGGTATGTTTAATATAAGAGCAATTTTGTTATCAAATTTAGAAGCAAAATTAAAATCTAAAAAACCCTATGAGGTTCACTAGATAATACTTTTACTTTTGATATGAGGTCAATTTGCTACAATATTATTATATTAATCATTGTATTGAGTTAAACAAATTATTCTGAATGTACAATTCGCTATTTTATGTGTTTACAAAACGGAGACAGTGTATGCGGGTGTAACGTTCTCTTAACTAATAAAAAAAGAACACTGGTTTTGACCCCTTCCAAGAAAGTATTCTACCGCCACTCAGATTTAGTAAATACCTGCCATTTATATCTCTTGTATTTTCAATGTTCTAACCATCTGTTATTAAATGTATAGTTAGTTTTATTGTTATGCTGTTAACTTTTTCCCTAAAACCAAAGATTTAAAATATATTCTATTTTGTAAACATTAATAAAATATAATAATACTTAATAATAATCAGAAATATCAAATTTTATTTATAAATATAATAAATAATAACTAATAAGTACCTTATAATGGTTATAATATTGAATGTTACCTATAGATAAATATTATAAGCAGAAAAGTTATAACTCAGTATCTTATACATATTTCAATGTTTGAATAGGTACTAATTAATCATAATAAATTAACAGTTGTATTAGGTACCTTCTTCTTATTATGTTTTTATCTATTAATAGAATTACTGCTGAAGGAATTGAATAATATTTGATATTATATGTGCAGGTAATTAATTATATTCTAATAATAAATTTGACTATAATTTAGTTGTGCTTGTGGACCATAAGGTAAAACTAAAAACGTAATATTAATTTGACTATTTTGTTGGATTTCATCATTGATTAAACTATTAAAGTATTAAAGTAATTTTGTTATTATTGCTGTACAAATTTTAAATATTTAAAATATAAAGCAGTGGTTCAAAATTAATATGAAGCCACGGACACCTAGCTAAAACTTAAATTGATCCGGGAACAGCTTTTTTTTTTGTAAATACTTACTTTTAAATTTGAATAAATTGATTATTTCCTTTTTTCACAATAATCGAGTTTCAATAGTCCTAAAATACAAACATTTTAAATGACTATAAATTTTATAATTACATTAAAATAAAATAAATAATGAAAAATCACAACAGTACTACACACAACCATAGACTCCCTAACATCAACACACGGACCACGAATTGGGAACCACCGCTATTAAGTATATTTAATACAGTATGATGTTTAGAACACTGAAAATACGAGAGATATAGGTAGGTAAGTGGCGGACATCAACTAAACCTGAATGTTGGAAGAATAATTTCCTGGCGGGTGTCGAGCCATCAATTAACCAATGCCAAAAAAGTATGTACTTAATTTAATTGACAGTTATCAAATATATGTACAATTTGGCTCGAATAAAACGATTGACAGGTTGGTGAAATCATTAAATTTTATTTGAATTTGTTAATAATAAATTTAAATATTTAAATAAATAAGTAGGTACCTAAGTAGGTTTTGTAATATTAATGCAATTTTCAATAACTTCACAAATAAATCTCTCCAGTACATCAGAATCATATTGTAAAACAAAATTAATACCTAACTAAATGCATTGATTATGAATACTATTAAAGAAATATTGAAATATTAAAGAAATACCTCTCGATAATCTTAAAGATGTATGAACTTCCAATACGAGTTTTACTGAAAGTATTCAAAACAATTTCGCATAGTCTATATAAATTTAAACATTATCAATGAATAACAATTACAATTAACATACATAAGAGCCAAGATTAATTATAAATTTACAAAACATTTTTAGGTAATTTACCTCAGTATCTGACAATGAGAAAAAATTTAGTAAATTTAGTGATACCGTTTATCAGTGGTCTAGTGGACTGTTGGTAGTCGTGGTAAAACATCAAAACTTCATATTGACAGTAGTACGAATAAATTGTCGACCAATTTTATCATTATTATTGTAATTCTAAAATTCTACTTGTAATGACATCGATAGTTTTACTACGACGTCTCACTACTCCCGTCTGCACTCATCAACAGAATATTATTTGGATTTGAAGGAACATAAAAAAACGCACTACCCTTCGTGTGAAAAATCTTACGGATAAATGGAATATGGATCAATCGGTAGTTATAGTCGTGTGTCGTTTAGGCCTTTGTGCAATCTTTTCTCATCAAAATAATACATTTACGAAGATAACAAGTGATAATACTTAAAGATTGTGCTTACTGTTTTGCACTTAACCAGACGGTGGAATTAGTGTAATTAATGAAATTAAAATATTATATAAAAGTTCGTTTAAAAACGTCGGCTGTCAATAGACAATTAAAATTTAAGGCGACAACTATTAGAAAAAAGTCAAACTCACACAATCACGAAACATAGTTCACAAAGTAAACATACCTACGGTAAATTGTCCAAACATTAAAATTATCTAACTACCGATGTATCATGTGTGTACAGTGTACTAATGTTTAAGTACGTCAGTAATTATTTGGCTATTAATAAACCATTATAATCGCATTGGAATGTATTTGAAAATCAATATTACGTTTAATTACGGTTTTATTGATACTAATTCCTGTTTGCATCAAAATGCAAATTAGGACATTTAATTGCTTCAATATGTAATAGGTAAAACTGTTTTGCAATTATAAACATTGGATGTTAATTTTAACGGTGTGTTATTTCGATACGGTTTAATTAGGCATACCTAACCTACTGGGATCAGTAAAAATGAAAAATATAATTTTATAGTTATTTTATATTTTTGTATAACCTATTTATCGTTGGGTATTTTTAAATTTAACTTATCTTTAGAAATTAAATTCCCCGTGCAAGTATAAGATATTATTTAATCTAATCTTGTTACAAATATTTTAGGAAAGTTCAAGATCCTAGGTATGTAACATAATTTAACCACGCTTCTATCATACTTTTGGTTTTAAACATTTAAATATTATAAAAATGTACCTGCCTCACTAACAACAATGGCCAATACATTTCTATATAATATGTATCTTTTTTTTAATGTTCTAGAACAATACATATTACTTTAAAGCAAAATGTCTTGCAACTATGCTGATGGTTTATCTCCGTATGAATATAAAGGGGAAGTTGGTATGAATGAAGTAAGTATAATAATTATTAAAAACAGTTAAATACATAACTATACGTTTTATATTTATTTTAGGTTTTTGATACTCCTGAAGTTTTGAAACAAAAGATTTTGCTTCTTGCCGAGTGGATCAAAAATTCAAAATATACAGTTTTTCATACAGGTGCTGGTATAAGTACATCAGCGGGAATACCAGATTTTCGGTAAATGTGTATAATGAATTTTGTAATAATAATAATGAGTTTAAGTGCAAATCAAAACAATATTTTAGGTATTTTAATTCTTCCAAAAATAAAATTTTAGTGTTTTTCAAGCATTTAAGATTTTGTAAAGAAAACAATTTATTATTTACCCAAAATAAAATACAAGACAGTCTACTATCCTAATATTTAAGATTTTAATTTTAGGTACTAAAATAACCTTAGTAAGATAATCTTTATCAATATTGGATATTTGTAAATTTGTATACCTATATTTAATATGTTTTATTTATTATATTTTTATTTTTTTTTAATTTATCATTTGAATAGTAATTTTATATTATACCTACTCTTAACACTAAATCATTAAATTTTAACAGAAATACCTTAGTTCTCAATCATTATATAACAACTTTTATATCAATAAAAATTAAATTTAAGATCTTAAATACCTAATAATATATCTTTAAAGGACACCATGTCCATTTTTTTATGAAATGTATGGCTCTATGTAAAGATACTATGTTTATGACCCTATGTCCAGTTATCATTAATAACGGAAATAAGACTATGGAAAAATAAACCATATCTACTTTTTTAAAGGTAAAGAACACCATTTGGACCTATCTTCTGTAAAATTACTATTTTGTGACATGGTGTCGTTTACCTTATATTATGTATATTTAGTGTAAACTTATATTTTACAAAATAAAAAAAATTTAAACCTAACCCGCTAAATCAATATTTATATTTATAAAGACTCCTTAGAGAATTTAAATCAATATTGTTTATTTATTATAGAGGACCAAAAGGAGTATGGACTTTAGAAAAAGAAGGAAAGAAACCAGAAGTTAATTTAGATTTCAATGATGCTAAACCAACAGTTACACATATGGCAATCAAAAGCTTGGTTAAAAAAGGTCTAATTCTTGAATTATCTATTGTTTACTGTCTAGTAACAATCTTATTTTGAAATAATTACCTATGAAATTTTTATCTTATATAATATGCAATTCATATATTATTATATAAACAAACTGATACTCCGTTAATAATTTTCGATTATTATTACGCTCATTGATCATAGCACTCACTCATTTCATGTATGTTGTTGCCAGTGGCAGTTTTGGGGTGACGTCTTTGAATTACATAATATATAATATATAAAAATAAAGTAAATCTTGAATTATATTCGTATATTTTAAATTTAAATATTTAATGTATACCTATATAGACATTGGATTCTTTAGATAAACAGAAAATTGAAATGTTCATTTTTTTTGTTCTGCACATTGATAATGTATGCGCATTGCTGTAACGTTATAAATTATAAGTTATTATACTCATTGCCGTTAAATACTGCGCCCGGAATTTTGAGAACCACCTTTACACATTTTTTCAATTATTTATGTGTAATATGGTTATTTTTTAATATCTAAGTGTTTTTATGATTTTAAATATCCACAATTACTTAAATGCAATGCAAATCAGCATATGTACTCTGTGAACTGTCTCTTCAATAATTATTAACCAGTGAATATAAACTTTTAATACAATCAATGAAATTTAATGAGTATAAGTATCGGAGATCCGATTAGTATTGTTATATTTCTTTAAGGAAGTGCAGTCATTATAATTATTTTTTCTCTTATATTGCAATGAATTTAGATTCTATTTTTGTAGTTATTTTTGTTATTAAAACAAATTTTAGATTTGCATTTTAAAGCATATTTTGTTGTTAATTGATTACTTTTGCACATTTTTCTCATTTTTAAAATGATTTTTCTTGTTTTTTTTTTTTTTTTTTTGAGAATATTAGTGTCATAGTCAACTTTATTTAAACCTGAAAATTCAGACTCCAATAAAAAAACAAAAACAAATACAAAATATCACAAATGTATAGCATCAAATATAATAATGAACAATAAATAATAATAACTTTTTAATAATACCAATATATTCATTATAGTTATTAATTGTTATACATTTTACTATAACTGATAAATAGGACACATTTTTTTATAGGTAATTTGAGAGTGAATTTGTTAAATTATAATAAACTAGTAGGTATTACTAATTCAAACTAAAATTAAAAATGATCAACTAAAACAAAACTATAATTTAATATTTCCTCCATTATGTAGTTAGGTTAGCAAATTACATAGAATGTTGTTTTGTTTTAAGAGACAAGTGCAAATAAATATATGTAAAACACTTAATATTTAGTTTGTTAAATATTCAGTATACTATATATTTTTTAGTATTTGTTTAGCACTAACCAGTAAAATAATATGGATCACTAAAAATTGTTAACATTAATTTTATACATTTTATTAGATTATGCAAAATATGTTGTCAGTCAGAATATAGATGGTTTGCATTTGAAGTCAGGATTACTTCGTCAACATGTTTCTGAAGTTCATGGAAATATGTTTAGTATGAGATGTAACAAATGCAGAAGGTAAATTTAAATATGATTATTTTCTTGTAAGTACCTAATTTTAATTGAAATGTTTTAATAGTTCATATATCAAACTAATTGTTCTTTTGTACTTTATAAATTACTATACTTCCATTTTTAATTTTACTGTTGAATAATTTCTAAAACTGTTGATTATTGTAAAAAAGTATCCAAGTCATTGATATTAAACACATGGATGTGGCATTTCTATAGTCACTAAACATACACTTTAAGCCTTTAAGGGGACATTCAGTGACATTTGTTGTATCCTTACAAGCGTGTTACATATCAAATTTTACGCTCAGCAGATCTCGTTTAGCTCCGTTAGTTTAAATTAGTGAATTGACTTCTTATAAAATTGAAAGGTAAGATTATTATCAAGGCAAAGTCCTAGGATTTTTATTATATTTTAATTTTAAAGCGAGTAATGAGTATCTTAAAATTTTAAATCGTTTGTACATCTTAAAATACTCATAACTTGCTTTAAAATTAAAATATTATAAAAAAGTCTATTACCTAGATAATAATCTTACCTTTAAATTTTATAAGAGGTCAATTGAATCTAATTATTAAACTAACGGAGTTAAGGTAAGCTCTTGTAATACGGAGACAACACATGTGGGTACCTTGTCTTCTTAACAATGGTTCTAACTTGCATTGAAGCTTCTGAGCGATAAAGACCCTAACATTTAAACAAAAGAGAAATGCGGTGTAACGGTATTGCAGTTCGCAATGGTATCAGTTATGTTGACTTACATATTATTATACAATTATCATAAGTTCAATATCAATGTAGCAAGTATAGTTTATTGTTTACAAGCATTTAAATTCAGTCATTTTTGGTTTTGGCCACGGTTAGTGTTTTTGTGGCTGATTATATTCAGTTTTTAAGCCCTGATTTAAAGTAAACTACCTACTTATTAACATTCGGAATTTTTTTGATGTCTTGTTTCAAATAGTATTATGTATCATTATTTTATATATTTCTAATATATTAAGGTTTTGAAAATAGTCTTTTTGAAATTGTATATAATTTAAATATCTATATTGGAAATAGTTGAGTTATATAATTTTGATTAAATACTAGGAGTTATGTGAGCAAAACGGCTGTAAAAACAGTTGGACAACGATGCTTGGATATAAAATGTTTTGGGAAAAATAAGAATGGTAATCAATGCCGAGGTATATTTTATGATACAATATTAGACTGGGAACATCAATTACCCACTGAAGAGCTGGAGTTATCGGAGTTACATTCTAAGTAATTATATTATATACTAACTATCTGTATGTTTTACATTTAAATATTTTTTTTTACTAAACATTTTTGCATATCGAAGACCATTTATTGGTTGACATAATTTTATTATAGTATTGATTTGTATGACTGTCAACTGAGATTATGAAAATAATAAAATTACTATCTGCCTATTAAGTTCGGTGTTCTCCGCTTAGGACTGAAATAATCATTAAAAAATGATTTAAGCACAGCTGACCCATACAAATTAACATAATTTAATTGCTGTTGAAATAAACTTCTTATTATTATATTGAATGCAATGTATTTATAAAATTATGTTAGCAAGTATTATAGTTATGCAAGAAATTGTTCATATATTTCTAACTATCAATTCAAGTTATGCTAGTTTTCTTATTTTTCAAATATAACAAAGCTTATATGTTTTTTCAGAATGGCTGATTTATGCATTTGTCTTGGAACTTCATTACAAATTCAACCAATCAATCTGGTCCCATTTAACGCGAAGAAAAACAAAGGAAAAGTCGTTATTTGCAATTTACAAAAAACCAACTGTGTAAGTATCTTATAATTATTATTTTAAATTGTATTCGATAATATACTACAGTTTTTTTTGAAAATATTTGTTCTAATTGTGTTATATTTTTTATTAAGGATCGTAAAGCAGATTTAGTTATTCATACATATGTGGACAATTTGATGAAGTCTCTAATGGATATCCTTGGAGTAGAAATTGACGAATACGACGAGATGAAAGATCCAACAAACATAAATTCTGAAACCACTGATTGGACAATTTATGAAATAGATTTAAAAAAAGTACGAGATATTAAAAGAAACACTACAAAATCTAAAAAACGGAAAAAGTCTGATGCCAAATTTTCTAATACGGAGTCAGAAACAGAATTGCCTTGTAATAATCAAATTCTTAAGCCATCAAAAATTTCTAAACTCAATAATATTGACAATATTATAAAATAATAACAAAATAATTAGGTTCTTTAATTATGTTTATAATTTTTTTATTTATATTAATCTTTTAATACATTGTTCCGGTGACAATTTCTTAAACAAATTTACATTAAAAATATGGTATTAATCTAATTATACAATATGATACAGTTGTTGTAAATAATGTACTGTTTGTTTGCATCACTAGAAATCAGTGGTTGGAGGGGAGGGGGAATTACATTGTGAATTGGCCAAATCGAGTGACTATAGTCTTGAATACAGTTTTTGGCAAGCCTTGGCATAAACAAATTAAGTTTAACGTTAAATTTAACTTTTATAAATTACTTTAACTTAATTTTTAACTTAACTTGTTTTTATTGATTTAAACTTAATAAATAAAGAGTTATTAATAAAGTTACATTAATTTATAAATAATAAGAGTAATACAATTATTATTGATTATGCATTTTGCATAAACATTTACTTTTTATTATTTTAAATCTTATTGCTGGCTATTTATATATCAAAGAAAACTTATAGTAAATGTTTTAAAATGTTTTCTTTCAACTCAACTTAACTCAATTAATAATTATCACTAACATGCCAAGGCTTGGCTTTTGGTACTTTTTAAACGCTACTTTTTACAAGTATTTACAGTTTTAACCAATAAAATATTTCTGGTTCATCCAAAACAAGATATAAGAAATGTATATACTAAATTTAAACAAAGTTTACACATCCTAATAAAATACTAAACATTTGTCACTGCTATATACTCACTTCAAGTTTCAATAAATGTAAACTGTCTATGAAGTGGTGGTTTGAAGAGAGGTGGTATGATTTTTTGACTATTCTGAGACCACTTCTTATAGCGGTAAATAATATAGTTTCGATGCTCTATCATATAATTTATTTGACCAAAATGAGTAAATGAGGGAAGGATATAACCCCCTTCCCGCTCCATCATTCGTTTGCCACTTTGCCTATGTGTTCTAACTGGTCTGGTAATCTCGATGGACACTAATCAATTTAAATTTAAATTATCTCAAAATCATAATTTTCTTAATTTTTTCTCAATTTATTACTTTTTTTTCTCCTCCTTATCTCAAAACCCACCATTAATACGAGGTCTGTTCAAAACTATATATTACTCTGGTTTAAAAAAAAAGTAGAAATGATTGAAGACTGTCAAAGAAATTCAATATTATGTACATTGTATTTATTTTTAATTTTAATTATTTTGATTTATTTTATTATAAGCTGGTTCATAGGGTTCTGATTATAGGCCAATTCACTATAATATAAATTAAGCTAAAAACATAAAATTGGAATTACTAAACGTACATTTTAATATTATATTGTGCTCTAGTAAGAGTGTCAGTCACCAAGAGAACACGGACATATTTTGTTTCCTTCTTACGAGTGCGTAACATGGCAAATATTGTGCCCAGCAAAAAACGTTTAGCTCCGTTAGTTTAAAAATTAGAGTTAATTCACATCTTCTAAAATTTCAAAGTAAGATTATTGTCTAAGTTATCTTATAGGCTTGTTATTATATTTTAATTTTTAAGTGAGTTATGAGTATTTTGAAATTGTAAATCCGTTGTACATTTCGAAATACTTATAACTTACTTTAAAATTTATATAATAAAAAGCCTATGAGATATCCTAGATCAGCGGTTCTTAACCTTTTGTAGATCGCGGACCCCTGATGAAAGATTTTTAGAAATCTCGGACCCCTTACCAATTTTTTTACAAAACATCTTATGTTATCATAACCAAAATTATAATAATTATTTTATATTAAAAATTACATTAGTAGACAACAAAACATACACATTTCCAATTATTTTTATTACAATTAATTTTTTATAAAAATGTAATATAAAACTATAATTGAGTACGATACTACGATCGATCAACTGCAATTCTAGTTAAATAGAAGACTGCCGAGACTACAGTGCTGTACTCATGTACATTTCGTATGAACAAGAAAAACTGATGACCTACTTAATAAATACTAATAATACAATTATTTGGTCTAGAATCTACATATTATATATGAAAAAAATAATAACCCAATAATATTGTAATAATGCACTCTGTCACTTATTGATGTATGTTATACTTATGTGTTGAGGCTGCCGCAGACCCCCGACATGAGTATCGCGGACCCCCAAGGGGCCCCGGACCACAGGTTAAGAACCGCTGCCCTAGATAATAATCTTACCTTTACATTTTATAAGATGTGAATTCACTCTAATTATTAAACTAAATGAAGCTAAATGAGCGTACAATTTGCTATGTATCGTTCTCGTAAGACGGTGACAAAAAAGTCCGTGTAACTTCCTCTTATAGATTTAAGGATGTTAATTTGACTATTAGTATTGTGATTGAAGATTTCAATGCTATAACTTAGGAAAAAATACTCAAATTAAATAATAGAAAGACCTTTTGATTCACTGTATTATCTAATTTATAATACAACTGGTTTGAGTTTTTTTTTTAACACACATCTTATGCCATTGCTTATTACTGACAACTTTGGTATAATTAACAAAATAAACTTATGTTATTTAAAAGCTGTACACAGTGGCGTAGCCAGAATTATGAAATGGGGGGTGTTCAAGTATAGATTAAAACCAAGTTTTTACTGTTTTCGTATATAAATAAATTTAGGGTTCGGGACTTGACTTGTTGCACTAAAAATTATCGAAATATGCAGTCAACATTTTCAAAATATGCTTAAATATATGCAGCTACATTTTTATATTATTTTTGAAAAATTCATAAAACGTGTATTCAATTTTTGTAATAAAAATCTAAAAAATAAGTAGGTATATAAACATGATAAAAGTAATTTAATCACGGATATACATATTTTAATATAGGTAGGTTAGCCTATAGGTTAATATGATGGACGGAGGACACAGCTATTGCATGTTTTGGACATTTTTAAACTATTGTGAAATAAAACTTGATTTTTAAAAATACTGGCATAAAATACTAGGTTAATAAATAAGTAATAACGAATAACGTGATTGCGAACACCGTGAAAAACGAACACGTATCTACTGATTTTCATTTCTTCGTACAATCTAGAATCTACTAATCTAGATGTCAATTATAGTTTTAACACAATCTTGTCACAAAGAGACTTATAAAATCTTTATACTTATACTTATACTTATTTATTACATATGCGAAAATAGGATCTATGATATCTTCCCAAACGTTTACTAAATTTTTTTAAGCTTATTCAATTTTATAATAGTATGATTTTAGGCTTCGGCTTCCCCAAATCTCAAAATTAGCTCCTAATGTACCTAACCAAACATAATATTTTTAAAGATATTTTTCAATGTTGTCCAAATATGATTTTTCTCGACAATTGTATGTAAGTACCTACATTTAAGTTAAAAAAATTCAATATATACACCAATATACGAAAAATCACTCAAATGTACACTTTTCCTATAATATACAAAAATATGCAAATTCAAACATCGTTTGATAAGACAAAAAAATTTCATTAGACAAATTTATAACTTATCTAAAATAACCTACTGCCACTACAATAAAACATGCAAGGAGTCCCGGACCCTATAAACAATATATTTATTAGTGGGGAAATGTCAATGGGGGGGTGTTTAAACACCCACCCCCCTCCCCTGGCTACACCACTGGCTGTACAGATAGATGCTATAATATTAAAATTATATTCAATGTACCTATATGTATAAAATTAATATTTATTTATAATTTAATATATTGGAATATAATACCGTGCTTTAATTACAATCATATTTAATAGTCAATAATTTTAAGTTTTTTTTTTATCTATTTTAAAAAATATATTAACAACAAAATAAGCAATTTTTTTTTATTTTGTGGTATTTCTTTTGTTTTATTTAGGGTGAGTTTTCATAAATTATTGAATAATTAATATTATTTTAATTTAAACTTGGTACACAAATCGCAATAATGATTAAAATTATTAAATTAAATTTTAATACATTAAATTATTATACATTACTGAAGAATAAATGTATATTATAATTATTTGTTATCATATTTTTAGTTCATTGAATAACTCTTTGAATTAATTATTTAATACATTTTAGTTAAAATGAAAAGTAGGTGCTTACCTAAAATATTAATCATGTTTTTATAATTTGTATTATTAATAATAGGTTTTTAATATGTAAAATTAATAATAGAATAGCTTTTTGGATTAATTTTTTAATTAAAATTAAATGCAAAGAACCTAATTCAAAAATATTTTATACTTAAAAACTCAATTTTAATATGTATAATTAAATTAAGTTAGTAAAATAACCCATATAATTAATCAATAACAAACGTGTCAAAGAACCAAGAATTTTTTATACTGTGTTCAATTTATTTAATGCATGCATTGTTTATTTTTAATTTAAATTAAGTTTGATTATAAAAGAAAATTGTATATATTTTATGCACAGTATAAACAATAATAAAGTAGACATTATGCTAGAACATTCTGATAAAACCGTTTCATAAATTATGAGTTTTTAACTTAAGTATAAATAGTATCATGTACATTTTATAACATTTTGTTTGGCTTACCAATGTTAGAGTATCAAATACTAAAAATAAATATCAATACTATTATTTTGTACTCAATTGGTTCCTTTTATTAGAAAATTTAGAAAAATTCTATTAGTTATTACACTTTTGTGTAGTGTTTTAGACCTCAAGATTTTTCCGCTTATATTAGTCATTTTTTCTTAGTAAATGATTGCTGATCAAGTATCTGTATTTTTTACTGCCCCGTCTAAAACATTTCATAGTTTGAACCATAGTATTTTAATTAATGTTTTCAACCAATTAGTGGTTGAAGACCCAAGGCTTTCATGGTTTCATTTGCACCTATTGAATAAATATATTTATTATATAAATATCAGCTTGTTGAATAATTTAATCATTTTTTTGTTAAATCTGGTGTACGTCAAGGGGGTCATTAATTGTCCACCTCTTTCTGTTTAGTATTT